GCCCCCTGCCACCCTGGGATGTCTCCGAGAAGCCCACCCGCCAAGCCTGCTTTCCCCCTGGCAGCCTCTCCCCATGCCTGCAGCAGGGTAGAGTCCAGAGCAGCTGAGAGCGCCCCTTTCTTCTCTCTGCCCTTGAGGAGATAAGATGGCTTGGCCCGGGTTTAATTAAGCGGTGAGGCAATGCCTTGGGGCGGGGGCAGGGGGGCAGACCTCATGCCAGAGACTGCTTTCCAGCATCGGGACCGTGGTTTTCTGGATGCCCGCCTCGCCTTTCTGACATTCCAAGACTGGGTTGCTCCCTTCGCCCGTTCTGGCATTTGCACGAGGAAAGAGTGCGTGGCAAGGCCTGGGCGGACCCGGGGCTGCTCTGGCTGGTTCTGCCTCCCCTGAATTCCTGAGCTTTGTGCGGGGCAGAGGCCAGAGCAGAGCCTCCTGCTTCACCGGGCATTTTCGCTGGCATTTTTACAAAAGGCATGACAGACCCCGTGGCAGCCGCCACCTCCTGATGTCTTACAAAAGATGCAGTTGTAATAAACGTAACTAAAGTTGATCTGATTCCCTAGATGTTTGGGCCCCCCTCCCATTGCAGCTGGCAGTCGGGACAAGAGTTTTGGGTTTGGACCTTTGCGCCCGCTCAGGACTGGGGTAGTAGCCTGGTTTTGCCTGCAGAAAAGCCCCGGCCTGCCCCCGCAGCGCCTTCCCTTAGAAGGCCAGGTCTGGACAGGGTCTTCCCCGGCTCAGCTGGCCAGGAGCTGCTGCCGTTGCCCAGAGGCTCCCTTGGGTCTGCCCAGCAGGTCACAGGCACAGCCATTTTTACTCCAGCGTTCTGGGAACAAGCAGAGGGAGACAGGCTGTTGGGTCCCCCAAAAGCCGAGGGAAGAGGAGCCGTGTTCTCTCTGACCGGTGGGCCCGGGGAAGGCAAAGCTCCTTGCTGCTGCCTCCGAGCGCTGGGTGGGTGGGCAGCAGCTGGTTGCTACGTTGCAGTGCTGCCAGAGGTTCAGCCTCTGAAGCAGAGAGGCCTGGCACAGGCGGGCAGAGTGTGTGTGCGCGTCTGCGCAGAAGGAGTGTAGCTGGAACAGGGAATCTCCCACCCCCAAATAATCTATTTACAACATAGGAGGAAGCAGCGTCCCACGCAGGCAGGCATCTAGAGATTTAGATGCTGAGGCCCTGGAACAGCCTCCGGTCTCCCACAGACATCACTTGGGAATCTCTCCCCCCCCCA